GTTCTTTTTTTTTTTTTTTTTTTTTTTTTTAATTTTTATTTATTTTTTTGTCCTGTCAGAGGTGAATATTCTATTGGCATCTAAATACTATAAGTGTTTGAATTCAACTAAACAATCTAACACTGTCTAGCAGTCTATAATATTAGTGGGTTATCCTCAGAAGTTATTGACTTGAGCCTTTTACAGCTCATCGTATTAATATGGATTTACTTTATATACCTCATTTTTATACTTTTCTACTGGATGGTTAAGACCAAGATATAGCAAGACATATATACCCAGAAATGTAACTTTTGTATCTGATAAGGTCAGCCAAGTACTCTCAGAATTTATCCTGTAGCCCTGTATCACCTTTTGTACATCCTTTTGTCAGTGTCTGACATGAGGATGAGTCACGGCCATTGCTTGACAAATTTGCTCTCCGTGAAACCAGCCTAGTTCTTGCCACACCCCTTATTAAGCCACTCTGGTTGTCTTCTGGCCAGCTCATTCTACTCCTAAAGGTCTCTTCTCAAGCCATGGTGGGATAAACCTGTACTCCCAGAACTCAGGAGGCTGAGGCAGGGGGATCACCACAGTTAAAGGCTGGCCTGGACTCCTCTGCCTCAGCCTCCCATGTGTCTTGCAAAATTGTTCATAGTCTTTACTGTTGAGGTTATTCAGTGTTGACTTTTGGGGAGTTAATTTATCCAATTTACACACATAAGTTTTGAGCCAGGTCTTTCGTTTCTTTGAAATTGTTTTCCAAAGACATTTGGGATAATGAGTTATGCAGAAACATATTCATAAGAAGAGCATAATATTAGGACCATCTAAATGTCTATCCATCCAGGGGCAATTTGAGCAAGGTTTGATAATTCTTTCAGAATATGGTGTGATTAAAAAACAGGTCAATGGATGGAATGGTTTTGTTTTGTTTTTTTAAATTTGCAATAACCACAATTTTAATAAGCTTTACATACCCAATAATGCAGAATATTACTTCAACAAGTAAAGGTATTCTCAAAGATACTTTATTTTTTGCTTCATGCCAAATCTTCAAAATCTGGTGTATAGGGGTCAGGGAGATGGCTCAGTAGAATAAGCGCTTCCGTGGCAAGCACAAGGGCCTGACTTCAATCCCTGGTTATGTTCACCACTCTTCGATATTGGTACTGTTTCCTCCTTCCTCTCCCAGTTCCCCCTCTTCTTCATCTCTCCCTTCATTTCCTTCCTTTCCTTCTCCTTCTTTTCTTGGTAGCATTAGGGATGAAGCCAGGGCCTTGTGCATGCCTGAGCACCGGTCCTACGGCGTGTGCCGCGACGGCCGCGTCTTCTTCATCAAGTGCGGCGCCGACTAACAGGCGCTCGCTCCACAGTGACCAGCTCCGCCTCACGACCTGGCTGCACCCGCGCTCCAGCGAGCCCGCTGTCAACTCGGGCCACATGATCCGCTCACGTGGGCGTTCCGGTGGGGAGGGCCGCGCCTGGATGGAATGGTTTTGAAAAGATTTTCTTTGTAAAAACATACCAGGACTTCAATAGATATATAGTTTCCGGGTGTTGGGAATACTCAACGTTTTCCCTTCTAGCTATTTTAAGTAATGAAATTCGTCGACACCAGCCCCAGTTAACTTCATTGTCACCAGCCAGAGTTATCTTCCTGTGCTCTAAAACATTCACTCACTCTGCTTATCCAACTGTACCCTGTGGCCACTACACATCCTGTCCCCCTCTTCTCCCTTATGTCATGCCTCAGCTCTGGTAACCACTACTCTACTCTGTCATAAGATTAATTCTTTGACATCCAAGAATAATCCACACAGGGGGCTGGGGATTTGGCTTAGCACTAGAATGCTTGCCTAGCAAGCTTGAAGCCCTGGGTACAGTCCTCGGCACCAAAAAAACAAATAAGACTAATCCACACAAGGAATGTAAACATTACATATAGAAAGTATGCACAAAGAAAAGGAAAGGGATCGAGGCATGGACAAGGGCAAGGGAGGACAGGCAAGGACATGACACAAAGGTCTAAGGTATATCATGTACAGGTACCAACTTCCCACGAGGAACATAAACATTATGTATTATACACATGTACTGATAAACGTATTTCAGTACAATTTTTAAAAAAAGATTGGCCTGGACTATCTAGTGACACTGTCTCAACACCACCCCCTCTTCCCCCATGTCTTTTATTTTTTTTGGCAGAACCGGGGATTGAACTCAGATCCTTGCGTTTGTCAGTCAAGCGCTTATCCTACTGAGCCATCTCCCCAGCCCCACCCCCCCATGTCTTTTAATGCTTGGGAATGAACCTAGGGCCTCAAATATGCTAAGCTCTGCTCTACCACAGCTGCTACAGCCCCAGCTCATTTTCATCTTTTCACAAGCCACCTCCTCAGTAGTCTCCGCCTGCAACTGTTTCACTTCCTCCACAGCTTTGCTTTCCCTCTTCACAGCACAACTGAAGAGATTTTCTTCTCGTGCTGGTCTCCCTCCCCCAGCGTCTTACAACTGGAAGCTGCATGAAGGCATGAACCACATCTGCTTACCCGTGAGGGAAGCAGCTTGCGAGGCTCCTGAGTATCGGGGAAGGATTGCCTCCCTTAGTATCAGGGAAGCAAGCCACACAAAGACAATCAGAGATACGAGTGTTCACATCAGTATCTGCGGGGCCTTCAGACTCCTGGTGGCACATACCAGAGGGGAGAGTGGGACATGACACAGCTGCAGACCTGTCAGCCCCGGGGAAGGGAAGCAGCAGTCTGATCCCCAGCATCCCAGTCTAGGGCAGCTTACCCAGAGGGCCCAGCTGGAGGTGGGCAGCTCTGCTCCACAGGGAGATGCACTTCTCTCGGGTAGCAGAGACTGCAACTGCAAACCAAGTTCCCTAGGGAGACACCAGAGTCGGCCTGCTGATGCCACCACAAAGCACCTCATGATTGGCTCTGCAGGGTTCTCGTGGTTCAGCTTCAGAGGTTCTCATTCATGACTAGTTGGCCCTGTTGCTTTTGAGCCCGAGGAGGCAGCACAGTAGGGCAGGAGAGTGCTGCAGCGCACAGCTACTTACCTCATGGCATCCAGAAAGCAAAGGGGCTGGTTCCCAGGGTCTTCAGGGCAGGTACTCCCTCTCCCAACAAGGTCCTGCCTCTTGAAGTGTTCACCATCTCCCGTTAGTGTGACAGAGCAGGGATCAGGCCAGGCCAGCAGCTTCTGGGTCTTGGGGGATTTTTAAGACCTAAATCCTAAGATAAATGGCTTTTGGATTCTCCTCAGCCACTCACAGAACAGCTCCTCTAACCTCTTCCTTCAGAGACCTAAGGCAGAAGACCAATATGGCTTTCAAAGCCCAAGAAAACCTGGACTACAATATTAAAACAGAATTGAGGCCAAGCAATACTCATGCTTAGGTTTTATTCAACTTTATTAAAAAATAAAACTAAAGAAGGACTGAATGTACAAACAAGCAAGTGGAAGATATGATCAGGTAGGCAAACACAGACTAACGT